AAATTGAGTAAAAATGACTTACTTCAACTCTTCTGTGTGTTACTTTTATCTCTGGGCCGTTTGGGGGCTGTTTCAAAGTGATTCCAGCAACTTTCAGTTTCATCGTTCTCCTCTCTATATGCATTCCTCAAGGTAGGCAACTTGAGTGGTGAAGCCCAGCAGATCAACTGAAGGAACAGCCATAAATTCGCTCCAAACGCTCTGATCACCTTAAGATTCCACCTAGGGCATGTGCGATAGTTGCTCTAACAATCTTCCCTTCACTGGAGGAAAATTTCAGCTTGCAAATCTCACAAGTGTTTCCCATCGAGACCCGTTGAATGATGCACTGACTGTATGTTCCGTGCACGGACTGTTTGAAAAAGGACTTAGTGACCCCAGTGGATGAAGGGATATTGTTCACTGCAAGTATTATTGTTGCTTACATTGAGGAATATACATAGAGAGGAGCGTGATGAAATTGAAAGTTGCTGGAATAACTTTGAAATGGCTCCAAAACGGCATGGGGGAAAAGAAACACGTAAAAGAGTTGAAGTAAGTCATATTTATTCAATTTCTCTTCCACAGTTAAAACTGTTACGTATGTTTGTTACATTCCCATACAAACTCTTATATCTATGCTGTTATGCCATGTTGTTTAATAATGTTCAGGTCTCCTAGGGAGCTTGGGATACCTGCTGTATGCTGGTTTTGACTGTACTTGATGCATTGTTCTTCAGGCAACTAACTGGCGGTCAGTTAGAGATTGTAACAGGTGGNGAAGTAAGTCATATTTATTCAATTTCTCTTCCATAGTTCAAACTGTTACGTATGATTGTTACATTACCACACAAACTCTTATATCTATGCTGTTATTTCATGTTGTTTAATAATGTTCAGGTCTCCAAGGGAGCTTGGGTTACCTGTTGTATGCTGGTTTTGACTGTACTTGATGCACTGTTCTTCAGGCAGCTAACTGGTGGTCAGTTAGAGATTGTAACAGGTGGATGGGTGATGCCTGACGAGGCCAACACACATTACTATGCCATGCTGGATCAGATGATTGAAGGGCATCAGTGGATTGAAAAAAACCTTGGTTCAGGAATTAAGCCAATGTCTGGGTGGGCCATTGATCCATTTGGACACACGCCCACCATGGCTTATCTTCTGCGACGTGTGGGTTTCCATGCCATGTTGATTCAAAGGACTCATTATCAGGTGAAAAAGCACCTTGCCAAGGAGAAAAATCTTGAGTTCATGTGGCGGCAAAATTGGGGTAAGTTGCAACTCTGCTCTGCCATGACAACTGATGATGATACATGATTGTATGAAAAGGCAATATGTCTGTTTCAAACCTGCATGTATGGCCTAAGCATGTTAATATTTAACTCATGTTCTACACTAAAGTTTTCTCTGTTGCCCAAAGAAAGTAAAATCTTGTCAAGTGATAACTGAAATACTCCCCAAAGGTTGACATTTCTGTGTCAATGTTGGTGATAATCACTTAGAATCTATAAGGAATGCCTTGCTCTAGGTCATTTTGTACAAGTTTGTTTTTGCAGAACTTGTATTAGTCATTACAAATGCTTATTTAAAACGAAATGTATACATTTTGAATTTCAGATCACGGATCAACAACGGACATGTTTTGCCACATGATGCCATTTTACAGCTATGATGTACCTCACACCTGTGGGCCAGATCCAAAGGTATGACTGCATTAATTATTTTGTGAATAAATGAAATCTATAGGCCCCTTATACAGGTATGTGGGGTTATCATTGGGGAGAAAACTCTGATCAGTTTGAGCTAGCAACAAATGATTTAATTGTGTGCTCCTTTGCTGGCTCTCTTCATCCTTTACTTTGTTTTTGGAATGCCAGTGCTATAACGACATTGTAGTGTGGTAACGAGTTTGTTTATTTCTTCAGATTTGTTGCCAGTTTGATTTCCGTCGCTTGCCAGGTGGTGGAATCACTTGCCCATGGAGAATTCCACCTGTAAGGATTGATAATAACAATGTTGGATCAAGGTAGTGTATGCATTGTAACTACATTATTTTAACAATACTTGTCATGATGACGCTTTATGCTAAACGTATCTGACTTCATTATATGTTGCTTAATTAATTAGAATTTGATCTTGTACATGTAAATGTAAAAAATTTTCATTCAGTACATGTTCCAATTAAACAATGTTACAAAAATGTGCTAGTTATTACAAGTACATCCCACCTGAAAATAGCATGGCTAGACATCAAGTTGGGAGGGACTAAATACATGATGAACACAAAAATTATAACAGTACTCCATTTTCAGGGTTTGAAAAAATTGCTATCTGGTTGTGCGACAATTTGATTTTCCTCCGAGGCAAGTGACTTTTCATTGTCACTTGCCTGATGGGCAAGGGCTCTGGTGATGTCTCTGCCTGCAGGTAAATCAAAAAAGAGCAGACTAAGACTTGCCCAGGGCAAACAAAATGGTCTGAAGGGCAAGCTGGAATTCAAATTTTTTTTTTCTCAAGCCCTGTAGTTGCTTGCAAATCTCAGCATTTTTATTTATGATGATGTCATTCTCTGCACCTTACAGAGCCCGCTTACTACTTGATCAGTACAAGAAGAAAGCTCAACTTTACAGATCCAATGTCTTGTTTGTTCCCTTGGGAGATGATTTTCGATATGAAACTACATTTGAGACACATGAACAGTACAGCAATTACCAGGTATTTTGAAATAATCATGGGAATCCTGGGAGATTGAAATCCTTTAAAAGGAATCTAAGAGGTAATACAGTCACATAGGAACTTTTTTGTGAGACTGCTGAATCAATTTCAGTGACCAGAGACTTTGATTCAGTTTGATCCAGATGACCACATTACGTTCACAAACATCTGGTAGTCTCTCTCTATATGTGTAGAGGGCTATGAAGTATGAGTCAGAGCTAAACATAATTTAATGATATTATTTTTTTAACATTTTACAGAGATTGATGGATTATATCAATTCCCATCCTGAGCTGAAGGCAAAGGTAATGACTGGTTATTCACACTCTGATGATAATACATGTAGGTATACTAATCAAGATTGCTGTTATTGTCATAGAGTTGGTGGAATATGGGAAGTCAGATGAAGATTAGTCAGATTATAGGGATTTCAGGGGTTTCAATAAGGGTCGGACACTGCTAACTGGGCAAATTGACTGGCTCTGAGGATAATTTTGCTCGCCTGGTTTGACCATCTAGAGGAAAGTTTTTCTTATAAAGAAGTTCAGTTCAAAAAGTTTTGCCTGCCTGTGAAAACCAGTTGTCCTCCTGCTGAAAACATTCATGAAACCCGTGGATTTTCATCTACTCATTTTATGTTTACAAACTTGTGTCACATTTGTATTACTTTGATTTTGAGGTAAGAACACTTTTCTTTCGTGAACAGGTGCAGTTTGGCACTCTAAGTGATTATTTCAATGCACTGTGGAAAATTGCAGGTAAATAAACATAGTTTTACTTGTGATGCTAATGCTGTTTGTGTGCAAACTTAATAATAATTATTAGTTTATTCAAAATGGAAATGTTTCTTTTGCTTGTCAAGTTTAACAAACTACTGGACACAAAAGTACTTGAATTAATGTTATGAAAGTGCCTAGTAAATGGTCCATGCCAAAATGGAAAGCATTGTCAGTAGTCTTGTTCCCCCTCCCCTCCTTCTAATCTCAGTCACCTTCTAAGCTCCAACCCTTGTAACACATTCTATCCCTGTGCTCTGATTTGTAAAGATGGCACCATTTTTTATGGTGATGTGTCTGTCTCATTGATTAAATTGAAGTATTATTTATTCTAGGGGCTGAGCCTGGCACTCAACCAAAAGACTTCCCAGCTTTGAGCGGAGACTTCTTCACTTATGCTGACAGGTTGTTATTTCTTGGGTGTTTTAGTTGAGCTTGGAGATCCCATGAATAAAATTAGAACTTTTTAGATTACTAAATATTATTTAATACACCTGTGTTTAGTTTGATGGTGGACGTAGTTGTCTTTGGTGGTATAGACTGAGGTACACTTTGTATCAGGTGCTTTTTGTAATTGCTTCATTGTTTAATGAGAGGTGAAACAAAAATGTACAAAATTTTCTGTTATAGGGAAGATCATTACTGGAGTGGCTATTACACATCAAGACCATTTTATAAGCATATGGATAGGGCACTGGAGTCACACCACAGGTATTTCCTGAAGCGATGCTTGTTTGAGTGCATCATTCCAAGATTGTTTTACATTTAGAAACCAGTTACTATTCAGAAAGCTGCTCAGTTTGAACCAATAGTCGCATTAACAAGATACTCATTACAGTTATACCTCTGTACAGCTCTTTTAACATTTGCATATCAAAGCCTTTAGATAGTATAAGTTGAAAGAAGTTTAATAGCTACATTGTATTGCGTGCACTAAATGAACGTGTATATATGAGATAGAACAGCATCCATGCAGTTTTGCACATTTTTAACTTTTTTTTTTCAGTTGTAGAAACAAGGAACTTTTTGGCACAGTGAATTTTAGATGATTAGTCCAAACTGAAAGCCATGTTGTGAGGCAAAATGAATAGCTATAAAATTTAATTGATTTGTTCACAGTTCATTTTGAGGAAGTAACCAATTTAAAGGTCTAGTATGTTATTATGTAACTCAATTGTTTGTATCCATTGCAGGCCAATGGTGTTGGTTAATAATATACTACAGGTCTGCATTTTAAGGGCAAAAAAAGGTGTACCAAGGTGCATCATGCATGCAGAGGGAATGTAGCTAAATCCCTTTGCATGCATTGCCTATTGAATGTGCAAGTGAAATGTTTTGCTTTTTGTTTTGAAGGGCTGCTGAAATAATTTTCACCTTGGCTGAATCTCATTCTCGTCACCATGGAAGTTCAAGTTTTGCTGTGGAGCAGCTGTATGGTCTACTGACTGGCGCACGCCGCAACTTGGGTCTTTTCCAACATCATGACGGCATCACTGGCACAGCTAAGGACTTTGTTGTTGTTGATTATGCTACAAGGCATGTTTGTTAATCAAACATATTTTTAAGTTGTGCTTAATCAGTATTAATTTTGCCTTTTCAACATTTAGATTGCATAGGTCTTGAACTTACCAGTAGACAGTTGTGCTAATCATATCTAGTATTATTTAATAATGTGTTTGTCATGAATTGTGTGATTGTTGTGATGTTCACTATGATCATGGTTGTATTGGACTGCACAGTAATATGGAATGTGTTTATTCAACTTTAGGATGCACCGATCATTGAATGATCTGCAGCGAGTGATACAGGACTCCGCCCATTTTCTGTTGACGTCTGACAAGTCTCATTACACATCACCAGACCCAGTGTTACCTCCACTTAAGTTTGTATGTGCACTCAATCCTACTGAATATGATTTATATTGAGCTTTGTTATGTACAGAATATAATTTACACAAGTTCATTAGAGCAATTTTCAACTGAGTGTTGTAAAACCCAAACCAAAGAAATCACTCTGGTGAGTCACAAAGGACACAGACAATTCAGTGAAACCAACGAAACTCAAAGGGAATGCATGTAGCTGGCGCAAAGTGCAGAACAATGTGTGCGAGTTTGAGTCACCATTGATTTGAATTTACTGCTGATTAGATGACAACATAACATGTTTTTTTAAGCCAATTACTTAGCATAGTTATGTAATGCAAAACCAAAGTAAATGCAAATTACTTTCGACACTTAAGTGAAGACCGCTCTTTGCCTCTAGTACTTCTTAGTCTTTTTGGTAAGTTTCTTGTACATGTACCTCTTCAGGGCGAAAGCAGACTGGCTCAAGATGCGTTATCAACTAAAGAAGTGCTGACATTATCCAACACACCAAGGTACAGTAGAAATTTACAGTTCCATCTCATGTAGACTGAATTATTGTTGTTCTGTACCTACAGAAGAGTTAAGATTCGTACAGTCCTGTGAAATGTGTAATCTGATTACAATTATTGTAAACAGCCATCACTGTAATCACTGAATCAGTGATGTGGCCGACAAGAGCTTGCCTGGCTTGATTTCCACCACTTTGTCGGTTCCAGTTCTTAAGGGGGGAATGAGTTCTGGGGAAGGAGCGGGAGCTTATTTTTTCTGAATAACTGCTGATATTCGGGCTTGGAGCTTGCCACAGTACATGAGTGAAAGTTGAAATGTTGAACCTTGTGAACTGAATGAATATTTAAGGTGGCTCAAAACAGTTTCTAGCACTTAGATTGTGATGGGACGTTTACAACTACTCTTTATCACTTCATGCTACAATCATGGTATTAAAAAACTGCCCAATCATTGGTGAACACGTTGTTATCATTTTCGTGACACAATAGGTTACCATAATAACAGTATGACCTGCTAAAAACACCCTTAATTACAGCTGTAGGGCTTATAATTCAAAAACGGCACGTTTTTTATATTATCAAATTTTAATAAGCATGATAAGACGCAACTTTTGGCAAAGTTTTAAAAAAATCTGCACGTAGGGTTCAGAGCCACCTTAAATTTTTGAAAACGTGTTAACCAATGATTGGGGAGTTTTTTGATACCATGATTGTAGCATCAAGTGATACAGGGTGGTTATAATGACCCATCCAAATCTAACTGCTGGAAACTGTTTTGAGCCACCTTAAATGAATTTTTAATGACCCAGTATTGTCTCAATTATATTACAATCTCATATTTTCATATACTTCCTGGTTCAACCTGTTTTTGACTAGCTTGGTTTATGGCTGAATAAAGTTAACATTCATGAGGCCTCTAACTTTTTTTACGCATGGCTCAATGGAAGTTGAACAATTTGTGTCATTTAAATGCCGGTTTTGAGCCATAGGTCAAGTAGACTCCATCTGAGTGTGAGTTTTGAGTGTGAGTTTATATGTTTAGCCTGAATAGGTGCATCTAAATTTGTGTATGGTGTTGTTTACATTTTGCCCCTGTAGCATACTTTACATAGAGAAGGCATCATGTAGATATGATTTGAACTTGAATGTTAAACTTGGACTCCTCAAAATGGAAACACTCCAATAATGAGAATACTACTGAATTTTTCTTGTTACAGAGCAGTGGTGTTGTACAACTCCCTGACCACGGCAAGAGAGCAAGTCGTCAGCCTTCACATCTCAGACCCAGCTGCAATGGTAGTATGTCATTCTTTAATGTATTTATCATTACAGATACATACACTACCCCGCTCCCCTTCCGCCAAACCAAAAAAAAAAAAAAAAAAAAAGGAAAAATGAAAAGGAAAAATAAAAACACTAGTCAGGAATGTTTGTCAGGTTACACTTACTTTTCCCTGGTACTAAGTTACGGTTTGCGCTTATTGAAAAGTTTAGCCGCAATTTTTCAAATTCGTCGTTTGTAATCCGTGTTAATCTTCTCAATCCTTAGCCATCCTTGTTCATATATGGTTTATCATTATCTCTTTGGTGTTTTACTATGTTATTAAACTGTTATTTTCAGGTTTCCTATCATTTAAAGGTAATTTTGTATATGGCGAAAATTACTCAAAATACCGTGACTGAGCTCCTTTAAGGAGTGAACAAAAAGTGCACAGATTTAATTATATGGTACGAGGGTAGACGGTCCAACTGTGTAAGTGACACTGATTGGCAACGTAAGTAGTTGAAAAGAAGCCCGTACAACATTCTGCGGTACCAGTGCAAAAAAGACTGTATGCATATGTAACAATATGCGATGATGGTTATATGAAAAAGCCATTACGTATGTATGGACTAAGCACAGGCAGTGCATGTTAAAGAGATCTTTGCATTTAACTGGGGGAAGTTTCTCACAATGACAAGCCCAATCCGTTTTTTTCCTGACGAAGATGTTGACTCAATGGCGGTGGCTCAGATCAAACTCTGAACTAAAGTAGCGAGGGAACTCACCGTTTAGGCCTCTGCGTACATTTAGCAAGGCAGCCCATGAATCATTAAGCTATGAAGTCGTTTAATTGCCATCGTGTTTTTTCGTGTTCAGGTTAGTGACAGTCAAGGACAGGAAGTTCCAAGTCAAGTGAACGTCTGGTGGGATCATAGAGACAGAATCTCGACTGCTAAATATGAAGTAAGAAATCCAATAAAGAAGTCTGGCTGCGTACAATGGTCATCTATAATAAAAATCTCTCTGTATATGACAGGGGACGTGTTGTATGTACTTAAAAAAAAGTAAAGAACAGGAAAATTGAACCCATAATGTGATATTGTTACATGGATATTTTTAAAGCGGTACAGTATCCAGCAGCCTGGACAAGTTTTGGAGTGGTTTTTGGAGTGCATGACGCTGAAAAAACAACCTCGAAAAACTCATTGGAAATCAAAGAACTTGGGACTTTCAAGTATCTTGAAAAGAATACTCCTCAATTTTTAAATTTGGCCCATTCGTGACCAAATTTTCTCAATTTGGTAATGCTGGCTGCCATTCTGTGCCCTGTCGTTTGTAGCAAGTGCATAAATTAATTGGATATTTGATTAAGTGTTGTTTTCCCAGATGCCTTTCTGTGTATAGTGGTTGTTATGCTATGTTTTTTACCTTTTCTCTCTCGTTATATTTTTCAGCTAATTTTTGTCGCCAAAGTTGCTCCTCTGGGTTTGACCACGTACTTTATATCGTCAGGCCTTGGATCAAAATTGTGTGAACATTCTAGTATTACAGAGTATAATTCTGCTGGAAATTCTATAAAACCAAGGTTAGAACTAGACAAGCCATCAATAGCCCTTTCTTAAGGACTAATATTGATTCTAATTTGTAGAATTGAAAAGTTGATTTGCTAAAGCCTCTACTCTTAGTTAGAAGATCTGGATATGATTTTCTGCAGTTAGGCAAGGCAATATTGCATTTTCGAGTTGCCTTTACCTCTGTGTCAGAACGAGGATTCGTGCGAAATCATTCGCATGAAAATGTGTTCCCCCGACATCATCATCATCATCATTTTATTTCTTGATAAAAATCTACATTTTACAGTTAGACTGGCCCACGAATAGCTAAGCTAGTCTAGGTGGGCCAGTCTATCAATAGTTACATATGATTTATTATTATGATAATAATTACTTTTATTGCTATTATAGAAAAATAGAAAGTTAGAAAAAAAAGTGAATAAAATAAAAAGAAAAAGTGGGAAAAGAATGTGAATTAATAGATAACATATTTTTTGTTTATTTGTTTGATTGTTGGTTGGTGTTTTTTTTTTTACTGCTCCTACGGACATTTTAATTTAGAAATGATCCTGCGAACCTCAATGAAGGAATCTTCATCTTCAAGAACACTTAGTAGCTTGTTTTTAATTCTGAGTTTGAATTATTTCTTTGGTAGTTCTCTCAGAGAGCTTGGTATCTCATTCCATAGTTCATTTTCATGCAAATCAAACTCATTTCATATGAAAGATTTTGCACGGACTCGGTTTGAAGTAGAGGCACAAGGTAACTCGGGAATGTCCTATTTTTCCTACTGAATACGTCACAATAGATGGCTACACAGTTTATGTGCTTTCTAGCAACTGCTTTATCAGTCAATTAATTGGACTGCAATTGGAAAATCGTTTTATACATCTCATGTTTCAGGCAGGAATTTAAACATGATGTCAGGCAACCTGGAGGAGAAAGCATTATTTTGGAAAATGAAAACCTCAAAGTTGAATTTGAAAGTCTCCGCGGGCTTTTGAAGGTAATTTTGACACCGTTTCTTGTGATCCCTTGCAGGTGCATTTCACCGACACCAAGATAAAATGTAACGTTAGTATTGATACTAATGTCACACAATCATATTTCAGACCATCACACATAAGGATGGAGCTGTAACGCAAGTGGCCATTGACTTTGTCTCGTATGGAACAAAATCTTCCGGGGACAGGAGTGGAGCGTATCTGTTTCTGCCAAATGGGCCTGCTGAGGTGTGTATCGATGAGAAATCTCTGAGGCGTACAGTTTGTTTTAGTTTCAGTGAACCCTGAGAATAGGACATTGGGGAAGAATTTCCTTTTCGCAAAATTCCAAGATTTTGCGCTGAGGATACTCTGATTTGTATTAGAATTTCGTTACACATTTGATCTTTCGGTATCACTATTCCATTGAAAATAACTTTGAGGATGAGATTCCCTAAAATGGTTGCTGAAGAATGTTGGAGCGTCCAACATATGGTTATTTTGGGCACTGAGCTAGTACCCAAGTCAGCGTCGCGTGGTACAAATAGATGTTGTGGCTGTGAGAAACGAATATGTGAATTGCTCTGAATGTTTCTGTGTTGTTAATCTGTAGGCACATGGTCTGGGAGAGCAGCCAGTGGTGTATGTGAGCAAAGGAAAACTGGTAAGCAATTTGTGTTAATAGTAACTAGATAGGTAACATTAAATAGAATCGAATGACCTTTTCTCGTTTGTTTTGCGGAAAGAACAAGTTCTGTAACGATCCAAAGCTGCACACACAAAACCTGAGACAAGGGTTTATTTAACCAGCACAATCAAAAATGTTTCTGTTTTTCCGTCTTTAGATGCAGGAAGTACGAGTTTCCCTTCCCAATGTTCTGCACATAGTGAGGCTTTATTCCGTGTCTGGTAAGTTCAGTGATTTTCAGTTGTTTTTTATCACTGTGTTGTAACAGATGATGGCCGCTTTGAATTTGTATGGAGCAGTTTCAGTTGCTTTTTCATTCCGTGGGAAATGTTCTCAAACGAATGTTTACAGACATCCATCTGCATGTGAAGCGTTAGGTTACACTCATTAGGTTATACGTTTTGCAAAACTTTAGACACAGAAACACAGTTAAGAGAGTTTAAGCATTCCAGGACTATATACAACAGCTACATAAAAGTCGTCAAAAAGAGTCAAAGAAGAGTACAATGGAGTCCAAAAACCCGCGAAAAGTAAACGTTATCAACAAAATGTTCGATCTAGAAACTGCAGATACCTGTAATGTTGGCTTATATGTCAACGGAACCAATAACTAAGATGTCGCCCAAACGTTTGTTGATGTTTTGATAACAGGACCTGAAGGACGAACGCTTGATATCCAAAACAGAGTGGATATACGAGATCAAGTAAACAAGGTATGGGCTTTAAAAGATCGATAGGTGCATCTTAGATTTGATCTTGTCGTCTTATGCGTTGACATGTTGTTAGAGAAAAAAAGAATAATTTTCAATTCTTGTTGATGTAGGAATTAGTGATGAGAATCAAAAGCAATGTACAGAACAGCGGTCGAGAATTTTACACCGACTTGAATGGATTTCAGGTGAGCGGTGTAGCTTACATTATTTTATTCCTAGTAAATCTGCATAATTAACAAAGTGTCTAAGAATATTTGTGCAATGAGCACACACATGCAGGTTTTTACTTAAGCAATAACGCTGAAGTTAATGTAGAGGAAAGTTAATGAACAAAATAGGACTCTTTCGTTTAAGGAAACATTCGCTTCTGTAGTCATTCAGTCTTTGAATTTTCCATCCTTCAGATGCAAAAGCGAAAAAAACTGGACAAGATCCCCATTCAAGCCAACTTTTACCCTCTACCTTCTATGGCATTCCTTCAAGACAAGTCCACACGCTTAACACTCCTGTCAGCTCAGTCCAATGGTGTGGCAGGGCTTTATCAAGGTAACCACGTCTTGCTTTGACTTAAATTTATAGCTATCTTTGATTTGAGTCTATATCTAGTCCATACAGTTTTTAATACTCAGATTATTTAATAACCTGGCAACAGGATTTTTCAATAATTATTGTATCAGAATCTGCACTTAAAAACGGGAAAACTCATTGACAACAGCGTGATCTGAAGTATTTTTTCGGTGACACAGGTGAATTTCAAGTTGTTTTGGATCGCCGTCTTTACCAGGATGACAACAGAGGATTAGGTCAGGGTGTAACAGATAACAAAGTTACTCCAGCTAACTTCAGACTTGTCGTTGAAAGATTTAAAAGTCCACACGAACCTGTAAGTAGAATAAGCTATTGGTATTTTTTTGGAACCCATTGACACCTGGAGATTTTTGGGAAAAAACGCATTTTTTGGACAGTTTGGACATTTTTATCCTGGATATTAGTTCCAATATACTCAAAAAGGCATTTGTAACCAGACAGCATACCTTTTTCTCCACTAGCATTGCGTTTTATCACATTTTTGCTCGGGCATGCGCATATTGAGTTTTTGGACGAGAAAGCGTCCTACGTCTTAAGGCTTTTATAATTTTTTTTTTTTTCGACTTTCTTTTTGCTGCAGTTGTTGACCTACTACTGGGCTTGCTTTCAATTAAAGAATTTCCGGGAAAGCATCATCGAGACGGGGAATTCTTAGCACGGAGTAGCCAAGTGTAGTAGAGGGAAATTATGCTCCCAGTTTTTCACTCAAATTTCTAAGCATCTTCGTGCATATTTCACGCTCAGTTGACCCAATCACTCTGATCTGGGTATCGCTGGAAAGATCCTTTGCTACTGCAGAACTTGACTGTAAGTGATGCCAATTTTGGTCAAGATGATGACCTAAGAAGTGGAACAAAGGCCAACGTTCATCACGAGCGGTTACGGGCGGCACGGGAGTCAATGGGTTTAATTCCTTTTCTGAAAACGAGTTTTGCTTTGCCTATTTCTTCATTTAAGCACTCCAAGGGTTTCTAACTGATATTTTTCACAACACCAAAAATAGCGCGGCCTCTCGCGATAAATTTAAAAAAGTTTTCGAGTGTGGATACTCTCAACCCAGCCGAGCAGCTCTCCGTAAGCAACATTGTTTTTGAAGTAAAACATAGATTTGTTTCGGTAACGCGAGAGACATGCAACGCTAACATCCGTCCTTCTAATTATTCCACAGGATGGTATTCCTCTTGCGTACCCCTCCCTTCTTGGTCACCGTTTGTTACACCATCTAAACCACCCACTCTTTACGTTAGTAACTCCAGCAGAGTCCGCTGACTCGGCGAACCTGTTGTCAAATTTTAACAGTCTACAGTCTGATCTACCCAGCGATATCTTCATGGTTACCTTGCGTTCGATAGCAGATAAACAGCGACCTCGACCCAGCGGCGAGGCTCTACTGGTACTTCATCGTCTGGGATATGATTGTAATTTCGAATGCAAGTGTCTTACGACCACAAGCCGAGGACAGGTTAGTAAGGTGTTTTAATACTGTCAGTCTGCGAGAGTTGCGTTGAGAGATGGAAGGTGAGAGCAGGGACTGAAATTAGCCGCGCGTGCTGAAGGTGAGCGAGTACGTGCCTGCCGGCTTTAAGCGAGTTCAAATTCGTTGAGTACGTACAAGAGTCGATGAAACGCATGAGAGTCAGTTGAGAGTTATTAACTCTGTCAACGCTCGTTTGATTCCGATTTTGAAGGAGCAACGTCGCCATGTTTGAAGTCTTTTTCTGTCTCTGTACAGAATTGTTTCCAAACTCAAGGAAACCTTGAAATAATAGTTTCCAAAGAACACCAAAAAAGTAATAACAAGCCGAAAATGACTGAAATATATTTTTACAACTGAGAAGGTCAAAACGGGCTAGCCTGCTTGCGCACAGATTATCTTACGCTTAGCCTTCCGTTCTCCTTGAGCAATAAAGGAAAGCGCTACCGACAAAAAAAATTGAAAAAAGTTGTCAAGGTCTTTTAAGACATGCTGCAGTTACCCTAAATATTGAAAGATGCAGTTTAATTTTGCATAGGAAAGTTTCATAACTCCGGCCTTTGGATTTAACGTGTTTTAATTTGCGTTGTGTTACAGGTGAAGTTGAACCATTTATTCAAAGACTTATCGATTGATAAGCTCCAGTCCACCTCTCTGACAATGTTACACGAGTACCAGGAACTGGATCCCAGCTCTCCTCTAAACGTGGATCCAATGGAACTTTATTCATACAAGATGAGGCTCAAATGATGACACTTCACGCGATTTTATACGAAGCGAATTTTATATGTAAATGCATACAGTAAATGAAGGATCTTGGCTAAAGAATGTGCTAAATTTCACTCAAATTTTGATCGAGAAAGTAAAAATCAGGTGGCGTACAAACGTTCCGGGATTTAAAGAAAATGATATTTAGATCCTGTCTTTCAGGTTACATGATAGTAAGATTTGACTAATACCGCTGGTGGCCGGTTTTTCCTCTTAGCTTAGAGTTTTTATCCGCGAATACAGAAAGGCAGTATGGCCGAGAATGGTTTGTTGTGTGAAGCGTCTCGCCCCATACTCCCTGCCTGATATTAGAGAGAAAAACAGTCTGCCAGCAGTCTATACGTTTCGTCCAGGGTTAAATTTGCTAGCTTCAATCAACTACAGTAGAACCTCGCCTTACGATGACTCATTGTTACATTCACGTACTTTTGTCCAAAGTAAACTTCAGCGCGGTAGTGATGCCGGTTTAACACACAAGTTAGCCTTCAGACTTATTTATACGCGGACATTTTCCACAACAACAGGAATATTCATGAACTTTGAAGTCTTTGTCATGATCATCTACGATCATGTTACTGCCGTTTTGGGTTACGTATCCTGATCCAGCACGCACCATTTTTGAGAGAATCCGAGGCTTTGCTCTCTTTTAAGGCAGTGGAATACAAATCTTATTAAGAATTAAATTGAAGACGAGTTGGAGCCCTTAGATTTTACCAATTGTGGTGTTTATATACCTATTTACGCTGTTAACCCAAATCTACAAAAAGATTTCACTGTTCAAACTCGAAGGATTCATGTTTCCTTTGCTAGCTCGACAGAAAACTGTACTCGGCTGATCTGATACTTTCCTGTGATCAACGTATAATGTATATTTCTCTTCACGTCTGTTACTGGGCAGGGGGTGGGGCAAAGTTAAAGTTTGAACGTCAATTTCTTATATGAAATGGTTTATTTTATCGACGTGAAAACCCCAGGACTTTATTGACGGATACGCATAAAGCAGTGTTCTTTCGCGCTCTGCTCTCAGCAACTGGAGTCGGAGGTCTAAGGATTAGGGACGGCAGTGAGAAAGCCAGCCATACGCATTAGGTATGATATATAACAATTGATTCTGTTGAATGAGTGGAAATTTAGCTGAAGTTATAAAATATCGTCTGGTTTAAAACTCACTTGCCTGTTTTACTAATTAGGGTAGGTAGAAATAGTTCAAAAATAGGCTATGGGATATTTTATAGAAATCTGTTCAAATGAAATCAAACAAATCAAACACTTAACTTGGTACAGAATTCATAAAGCTATCGCTTATTTACGATGAATCTGTGCGTCTAAAGGAATTGTGTAAATTAAGAAAAGCACAATTTTTTTTAAAAAAACACTAATTGCAAACAGGTCTTAAATTAATCTATAAAATGAAAATAGGAATACTAATTAATTAGTTCAAATTAAAAACGCCAGGTTTTATTCTAAATATGTTCCATCTATCTCATCTCTGATGAAGTGACTTGACATAATTAGCCTAAGGGCGTTCACAGAAATGAGAAAAGAGCCGAAATTGGTGAAACAAAAATTTGCCATTATTAATCATGTGAAGTTTCGATTCCCGGTTCAAATTTTGCACTTGGTGTGCTTGTTATTTCCATACTGTTAGAACAAGCTAACTTGAACTGATGGTTCCTATAGTTGTGGTTTTGTAACACATTTGAAAAAAAAATATTGAATACCAGACAGTGCATCTTTATAATGAGGTAGTTCAATCATATTAATCAATTTTTCCTGGTGAGCTTACTTGATTAACTTGACGGCTATTAACCCCACGCTCGCGAACCCAAGCAGAATTAATTTTGTAAAAAGACACATGGGATAATAAGGTGGGGTGGGGTCAGCCTCTTTCTTTCGACCTGGTACGTCTCGTAGACGTCATCGGAAAGCGTACAAACCCCCCCCCGGGGGGGTACTTTGGGAATTTCTGGGTGGGGATGTGCCGCTGGGACCCTGGAACCCTTAGCCTATACCAGAGCTAGTTCAGCTGAATTTTGT